GCACTTTAAACCCGTAAAACCACGTCCACAAAAAATCTTCCTTTCCATTTCCTTTGAGAAAAATACGCACAACCTTCGCTGCTGCTGTAGTGGAATGTTGTATTATTCAAATTTCCGCTAATTGTGATTTACATAACAAATCAGTTACGTTTCATGATAGGTAATCGAAAGCACTAAACAAATCAGTATAAATAATTAATATCATGCCGGCAACACGTAGGTCGGATATCCAACATAATATTATTATATTATCTCAGACGTTGTATATAGTAGGTATATAACTATATTATATCTAAAACCTTTCACACAACGACTGACATTATAAAATATTATAATACTAAACCGTGTAAACGGTGTATTATTATTTTTAATTTAAAAATAATGATTAATCGTCGGATTCAAAAACGATAATGAACTTAGCTTAGTGTTTCTCATAGTTATTTTGGAACTTAACCTCCCGTTTTACATAAAAAAAAGTATAAATCAAGATTTTAAATAACCGTCGGATAACATGTTTAAAAATATTTATTTTAAAAATAGTTTACATAGTCATTAGTCAGTTATAATAAGGGTACATATATATAACAAATAATAATAAATCACAGCTGAACATTTCAAGTTTATAGGATTTATTATTCCTAAATAACACGTCAAAGTAACCAAAATCTATAAGATATTATGTTAAATACAGAATATTTATTATACTTTTGTTAGTAAGCCAGTTGTAGTTACTTTAACATAGATAGGTATGTTCTTGGGATGGATACAATTTTTTTTCTAACTTATTTTCTTGATGCTGATTTTCGTTAAGCTTTGTGTATTGCAATAGAAACGCAAATCAACGATAAAAAAAATTTAATGCAGCATAATACTAGATATTTTTCCACTACACTTTACCCTAAAATATATCTATAAATTCTTAGTTAAACTTGCAGAGAAAAAATATCTAGCAGCATACTACTTACAATATTATATAATTATATTAAACAATTAGTAATTCTTTTTTTAATTATCAACAGACTGATGTTATAGATACAGACTTTGAAAAGGCTTTTGATAGAATTAACCATGAACTTTTAATACATTAACTTAAAATAATAGATTTCACCGACCCTCTTTTATCATGTTTAAATTCGTTCTCAACTAAAAGAATCCAATTTGTAAAATACAGAAATTTTATTTCCAATCCAATTTCTGTATTATCTAGAGTCCCACAAGGAGATCACCTTTCCTCGTTAATATTCAATTTATTCATTAACGATATCGTCTTCTCTATTAAATACTTAAGTATTCTTCTATTAGCTGATGACGCAAACAATTTTAAATGTATAAGCAATACTTCAATATGAATTAACCAACTTTCAAAATTGGTGCATCTCAAATGGCATGTCTCTTAACATTAATAAATTTCAGTGTATCACTTTTTCTAAAAAACGTGATTTAATTTACCACGAATACATGTTATCTAACCAAAATGTTTTTCGTTCAACTCAAGTTAAAGATCTCGGAATAATCTTCGATTCTAAACTTTAATTTAATCTCTAAGTATTAGCTGTAAAAAAGAAAGCCCTTTCTTAAATGGCATGATTAAACGAAATCGCTCTAGCTTTAATGACCCATTTACACTAAAATGTATATATACTTCGATTGTTTGTCCTATATTTGAATATGCACCAATCATTTGGGAAACATATAACATAGGCCATTGCGAACAATTAGAAAAAATTCAAAATAATATGCTACGTTTTATCTGCTTTAAATGTAATCTATACAGACCACCTCGATTGGATATGAAAATATTCTAAACTTTTTTTAATTTAAAACATTGAAGGATAGAAAAAAACAATTTTATATAACCTTCCTATTCAAACTCCTTAATAATAAAATAGACGATTCTTCCCTCCTAAGCAATAACATCATTTTAAAAACAAACAATCCTAACACTCCAAATAAAGAATTATTTTATATCAAAACCCTATACTAAAAATTATATGTCTTGTACACCTATAAATATTTTATTGTCGAGTTGAAATTCAGTAAATATTTTAGATTTTTTTTCTCTATCACTTAATATCTTAATACTTATTATTATAAACTTTTATATTTTATCTTTATTTCTCTTTATTGTATTATTAATTCAAGATATTATCTTGTATATATATTATATATGTATCTACTATCTTATAATTTTTGTTTTTTATTTAGTTTATACACTATGTATTATGTAAATTGTACATGTAAATGTAAATTTTTAACATCCGTTAAATAAATAAATAAATAAATAAATAAATTACATACGAAAGAATTTTTGATTTGTTTGACAACCGCTTTCTGAAAAAAAAAAACAACCATAGAAATATTCCAAAAGCCTGATGCAGTTTAGAGTGACAATATAATATTTTGAGCACCGCTTCTGTAAGCAACGGAAAATAAGTCACAAATAAAACTTAAAATGATTAAAAAAAAAAACCAAACATCGATGTAAACAATAATATTAAAACATTTCTCTTTGAGCGTTTGGTAACTAAAATTGTCATTAGATATATTATAAATATTGATTTTGAAATACACTGTGCACACATTACGCACCGGCACCGCCCCGAACATAAATGGGAAACGCTGCTATAATATACTATTTATATTTATATAAACAACTTTTGTGTTGATACAACCGTTATAATCGCTTAAGATGTACACAGAAACCAGGAAATTCGTCTGTCAAATCAAATTTGAAACCCTTTGTAGCTACCGTATATACAGACCAGGTTGTGGCATATATGATTACCTACGTAGACCGACTCTTCTCAAAGGTCTATCGAAACGTTCCAACCTCTGATATATATATATAGTAGTTTTTTTTTTAACTGTTTCACACCGCCATTTCTCTGTGCATTTGCACGTCCCCACTTTATTTACTTGCTGAGAAATAAACGTAAGTACCTACGCCAAAAAAAAAGCACACAGATAAATATTATCAGATAAAAAAACTCATTCTTCGTGGGTTAACACACTTGCACCCCAACATTGCAACACACACGACTATATCATAACATAGGTACATTAGTGGCGCACCTTGCGGGAGGGGTAGATGTTGGGCTCAAGACCTAAAAATAATTTTCTATTGGGCTATACATGATTATTGCATTGTATTTTGTCACAAAGAATATTTTAAATACCTAATAATTTTTGTAATAATAATTAACTTTATAAGTAATGTATAAACGATGAATGGTAATGTTTTTTTTTTTCAAATTTGGTAATAATTATGCTTAATACATATTGATAGTTGTAGTAGTATGAACCTAATGGATTGTTCATGTTGTATATAAGGTTTGTTGCAATTGCCATTCGATTATATCGTTGAAAATGACCAGTTCGACCCATTCAATTTTTCCATTGTGTTTATTATTACGTGTATTTGAATTCAATTATTAATTTAAAATCTAAATTCAATTTGTTTTGGACTTATTCATAATATAATAATAAACAATTATTCCGAAAAAAAGCTCTCAAATGAGTCAATAACTGATTAAATTTTAAATTTATGCAAGACTTATAAATATGAATATAATTATAAATACATATTACATTGTGTACTATGTTGTAATATAATAAATAAAAAAAATAATGAAAATTTTAAAAATAAGTGGTAATTGTTTACGTAAGTAAAGTAGGACAATTATTAATTCCCCTTCCATCCCCCCCCCCAAACATAAATCCTGAGTACACGCCTGAGGTACAGGGTGATTCACCAAACGTTATGCTCAGTTCTTATTTTTCTCTCATTTACAGTTTACACTATAGTACTATACCTATAAATATTTGATAATTATGAGTAGTTTTTTTTTTTAAGTTTTGGCTTGGTTTTTATTTAACTTCACCGATGTATTTTTACCTATAGTGCTTTACCCGAATGTTATGTTTAACTAAAACTCAAGTTATATACTTTTTTCTATAATAATAAAGTTATGATGTATGTGATTACCTAAGAGTAGACCGTCTCACAAAGGTTTTTCAAAACGTTCCGACCTCTGATAGTCTATCAATATTAATATATGTTAATTATTTTTGTCAACTATTATACTTAACTGTTCCACACCGCCATTTTTCCATGCATTCGCACGTCTGCGCTTTATTTACTTGCAGTGGAATAAACGTAAGTACCTACTTACACAAAAAAACGCGCACAAAAACGAGATAAAAAACTCATTATTCGTGGTTTAACGGGCGTGCACACAAATGACAATGATATCATAATAATATTTTACAGGACGATTCGCTAAATGTCATGCTCATCCACCCCTCCACAATTTTTCTTTGAATTTTGATTTTTGGAATTTACAAGTTTACTTCTCATATTTTCAATTATTTCAATTGTTTACATGCCTACCTACCATATTTAAGGAGTGTCCAGAGGCGATACCGACTTATTTTTATAATGTGTCAGATTTTGAAGCAGATGACTTTTTAAAAATGTCCATGCGTACTGACCTATATGAATCAAAATTCAAACAAGGACCTGTATAGTTTTATTTAGATAAGATGATTTGATAATAATTATAGTAATGTTAGGTATAAGTACCTGATCTATCAATATTTTATAATTTGTAAACATTTCGTACGAGAATGATTTATATAAGTAGATCCAATATTAAGTGCAACTATTTTATATTTTTGGAAGATCATTATTTTAAGGACTACAATATTATCATGATGTTGATATATGCATTTTAAAAACTCTGAAACTATCAGTTTGAATTTGGATTTAGACACATAAACGTTTTCGAAAACACAACTGCCTAACGATTTTTAGTAAAAAAGGTTGGTTCTCGTTTGATAAAAAAAAATGCTCGAAACGCACTGCTCAAATGGTACAAAAATCTAAATAATTTCATATTATAAGGTGTCCCCTTGAGACTCTGGCGTATATTTAAAATTTTAAAAATCGAAATTCGACTAAAAAACGGACTAAATAAACGAACTATGACAATATGTTACAGCGATTGCCGCAATACCGAAAATCGTCTGCGAAACGATCCATGCACTGGAGTTGCAAGACGAGACGCCTTCGTGGAAAATAATGGACAACAAAGGCCGGGTGACCGTTGTGTTGCACTGGGACCAACGCAACCAGACCTACCGCAGTTCTAGTAACACCGGTGGCGGAGGCGGGGGTGGTGGTATGGACACGTCGCCGTCCAAGAAGACGACGGCACACCAACAGAACGGTGTCGGCGGTCTGCTGATGGTGAACAACGGTTTGCAGAAGAGGGAACCCAACCAAGTGTTGCAGCAACAGCAATTGCAGTCCACGCCGACCGTCTATCGGCACGGTTCTGCACCTCAGATTACGGTCATCCACCACGATGCCATACCACAGTCCATGAACGATGGTTCGAGTAAATATTTGTGATATTTTAATATAATTGAATAATAATTTATGATCATATCTTTGAAATCTTTAGAACACAATAGTATAATTGGTATTATTACCAACCTGTTATTATTTGTATTATTATTAGGTAACTATACTTGTATACCTCTTAGGTATACGTTTAAATGGAGTTTATGACTCGACTGAATAAATAGCGTCTCGTTTTCACAATATTTTTAAGTCATGTGCGTGGTTTTTCATTACCTAGTTATTATAAATTACAAAACTTGCTGCTGTTTAATAATATCTTGGAATTAATTTGTTTAGGAAAATGAAGAATTCTAGAAATCCGAAATAATTTTCTCACAAATTTCTCTGCTGTACGCATTTTTGACATTTTCTTTCCTTTATAATTACTTTTTATCATTTTACAAAAATATTAACATCTCTTTTGATTAAAAAGTTATTCTTTGATCATGAAAGACAAAGTTATTATCATTTCTAACGAAGTTTTATAACATATTTTATAAACAACAGTATAAGAATACATAGTTAAGCAATAGATAATTTTACTAATTTTATTATTTTAAAACATAATAACTGGTGTATAATATTTTAAACAAATCTGTTTAATTAAATATTATTAATTTATCTACCTGCTTATACAATTTTTTTCATATAATTTAAAGGCAAAGACAAAGCACTTGTTAATATTTATAAATTAATTTTAATCTTAGCTGTTGGTGGAGAAAATACATTAAAAAATGTAATCTCTAAATACAATTTAATACAAATTGTGTTAATTTAATGCAATTACATTTTAAAGTATAAAAACCAATTGTTTATATAAATATATAAAAAAAACTGTTTGAACGGATATATGTAATTTAAATAAAATAAATATTAATACAATAACTTATATCCATATGGAGTAGGTAGCGTGTATATTAATTCAAAAATCAAAATCAATTGCATAATAGTTGGGAAGTAAAATCAAACTATTGAGAGCTTGAAAGAATAGCTATAGTTTTAATTATCTACCAAATTTTAGAAAAATAATGTTTAAATTATCATTTAAATAATAACATATTATTGAATGGAAAAAAAATTATCCAAAAACAATAATTATTTTAGATACTGAGCGGAATGACAAAAGTATTGGTTTCTCAATGATGTGTCTGTTTTTATTATTTTATATTTTTTTGTGTGTAGTCAACTTTCGAAACAGTAAAAACGCTTCAATGTTTTTTACTGTTGCAAAGTAGATTTTGTTGGTGCTTTAAGGGGTCAAAAGTACTACAATACAATATCTTAATATGTAATTGAGAAAACAGGGACTTTTTTTTACGAAAAATCAGTTTTTGACAAATGTGATACTGTTATTTTGTTGTAATTCAAAAAGTAATAACTGTAGATACTTTGAATGTTCACTGAGTGTTTTTTTTATAGATATTAGCATAACTATTGTACATGTTATTATTTCTTAAGTATTTTTACTCCTTTTTAGCTTTTTCTGTAAATATCCATTAAAAAAAGTATGCCCAGTAAAAATACTTGAAAATGTAAAACAAGGTTCCTAGTAAGTTTGTTTGACTGGAATTTAAAAAAAAGAGGTTAGCATAAAGCCAAATACATTTTTATTGAGTTTCAAATTGTATGACATTTGAAATTAACTAGTAAAATATTATTCTCAAACCATTTTTGAAAATTTGTTGCAATTCAATAAATATTAATTGTGAAAATATGAAATGTTTCAATTTTAATCAAATTATAATTTCTCACTGAAATTTTTAAAATATTTAGAATTTTCGACTAAATTTTGGATTTTTTTTTCCTAGTGATGGTTTAATATTTAGATCCCACATAAGTGGTATTTATAAAAAGGAAAAGATACAGAAAATAGGTACATTGACACAATTATTTTTTAGATTCTGAGTGGAACTATGAATTTATTGATTTTACAGTGATATGTGTTATTTTTTTATTTTTTTATTTTCTTTTGTGTCTGTCATCACCTTTTAGGACAGTAAAAGTGCTTGGATTTTCTTTAACAGTATCTTTTCTGATAGGAAAGAGAATCTAGTTGGTACTTTGGGGGGTCAAAAGTAAAAAATTGAGATTAGTTTTCAAAAGCACTGTGAAAAACAAAAGAAAAATTAAGGAAAAACAGGAATTTTTACACAAAATCTGTTTTCGAGAAAACCGATTTTGGTTTTTGGTGTAACTTTAAAACAAATGACCGTAGATAAGTGAAATTTTCACTGGTTGTTTATATTTGCATTTTCTATACACTTTAACATTTTCAAAATATTTTGATTTATTTTGAAATGTTTAGGGACATTTTCAGTTTAAAATTTTATTATTTTTTTTTTTTATGAATATCAATAAAAATGTATTAGTAGGTTAAAAAAGCTTGAAAATTTAATAGAAAGCTTCTAGTATATTGTTTCAAAGGCAGATGAAAAATATTAAAAATCCTTAGTCACAATTTTTGTTTATAAGCATAAAAACGAATAACTGTAGATACATGAATATTTCACTGAATATTTATATAATCATTTCCTATACACCATATAATTTTGAAAATATTTTGACTCTTTTTGAGCTGTTTACGGACATTTTCAGTTTTGAATATTTTTAGTTTTTTTTTCTATAAATATCAATAAAGTTTTATCAGTTGTGCCAAAAAGGGTAAAAATTTAATACAAGGCTCCTGATATATTGTTATACTATCAATTGAAAAATATTAAAAATACACAGGTATAATTTTTTTATAAGCATTTAAAGATCGAATTTTGACAAAATTTATCAAATTTAAAATTGAATAATTATTTTGTTTAATTACAAGATTCCGCGTAAGTAGTTAATTCTGTTACCAAAAAAATCTAAAAAATACATAAGCACAATTTATTTTTATAGTCATTTTAAGTTTAAATTTGGACGAAATTACATATTAAAAAACTTAGAATAACTATTTTAGTTATTTTTTTATGATTGTATAATATTATTCGTGGGTAATTGAAATTTCTAAAATACACTATTATATATCTATGATAGTATCAGTGTTTGTTGTTGATGTATAACGCGTTATAAGTACCTAATGGATATTGTGATATGATTAATTTGGAATTTATTATAGGTACCTATAATAGGTCAATTTTTTTTTTAATACCATAGATAAGTTTATAATATGCTTTATGCCTAGACTGAAATACCGTCTCCGCTCAGAATCGTTTTTCTTAAACAATGATATTATATCATTGAATTCAAATTTTATATCATCCATTATACAGGGACCTACTTGTAACCTACTGTACAGAAGAGCACCATTTTATTATTGATGTTTAAAATTCAAAATTTGACAATTTATTTTTTAAATAATTAATTATATTTCATAATTATAAACGCATGCGTTTTTAAATTTAAAACTCATGCTTAAAAATACAATACAATGTTCTTTGTAAGTTTATTTTCAACAACCTAAACAGATTAAAAATATAACATTTTTTTTTTCTCAGAAAATTAAATTTCAACTTTTGACAAAATTTGAATATTTAAATAGAAAATAAGTATTATTTAAGTAATTTTTTTGTTACTAAAAAAATATTATTCGTAGCAACTCGAATGCCTTGAACATATTTACTATTTACAGAATGAAATTTTCAAAATATTAATTTTATACAGTATTTTTAATTCGAACCTACTCACATTGATATACCGCGGTGCATCAGTATGACATAAGAGTAATATTTTCTCGTATGAAATAAAATTATAATAATATAGTATAGTATTATAAGCGATTTATTTTTTTCAAAAATTAGTTTAGGCGTATAGCCTTATAGGTAGTAATAGAAAAAAACATAAACTAATAGTAACACGTTAAATATATTTTATAAATTATCCTTAGAAGAATAGGCAAAGGGGATCGAATTGAAAGCTGAGAATCGATTTATCGTTAAATTTAAATTCAACAAAACCATTAGAACAGTGAATGGGTACCTACCAGTCAAATCATTATACTACGATAATCCAGAGCGAGTTCCCCTGTTTTATGTATTATATCTTAACGTTTAAACGTTCTTGTATTAGAATAAAATACAATCGATGTTTGTTTTAGAGCAACTCGAGGATGTACCTATTAAGTTTAAAAAAAAAAAAACAACGTCATGTTAAACATGAAAGATAAAGATTAACGTGATACTCTCCATTACACAGCATATTTGGATGTAAACAATTATTTTTGAAATTTAAAACTCAATATATTATGATAGATAAAAAAAACTTATTAATTCAAAAATTGACACTACCAAATACCAATTGTTGAAGCTACCGACTAAACTATAAGCTATAAAACCTGCATAAAACGTATAAATACAATGTATAATAAGACTTGAACTAAAAAGTAGAAAAATATAATATAAGTATTTATTGCATAACATTGTATAACGTATATATTTTAATAAATAATTAATAAAAAGTGTGTACCCACTAACCACAATCATACTTACCAGTGACGATTTATTTTAAGCATGAATTAGATAAATATACCGCTAATCAATATTTTAATTTAAACCACAATGCGAATTAATATTCATAGATTATTCAGGTACATTCCCGGGGTACTTTTAGATTTGGACATATAACTATAAGCCCCAAGGTTAATAGAAGAATTCGAATGTACCAAAACAAACGCATAGGTCCCCTCATAAAATATTCAGTAAGGATTCCGGACACATTATTACGATTGACAGAATTCACTAAATAATCATGATGATTATTATGAACTAGCTACTTATTAATTGCATACAAAAATATACTGAGGTAGGTACTAATCATTTTTTTTTTTTTAGGGAAATCAACTACAAACAATTCTTAATAAATCAATTTTATATTTGGTAAATATGAGTATAGGTTAAAATATATTCTATACCTGGTTCGAACATACCTACGTACATACATACATAACATACATCTTTCTAGAATTTACAGAAATTCTTGAACAAAATGAAATTATATAAAAAAAAGTAATCATTGAAATGATAAATATAAATTTTTTTAATTCACCAATACCATAGTTCTATTTTTGTACTGGCATGTGTATAAAACAAATTCACTCGTAAATTCGGGATAGTATGTAATATAATTTATAAATAAAATTCTGATTAACATTGCACACCATAAATTAAGGAGTTTGACGTACGTTAGCCATTTACGATCAACAATTGTATTTTTTAATTTAAACTGATCATTTTACAACTAAATCATACAACTTGACACTGATGAGGTGCGTCTGATGTCGTTGTTGGTGGTTTTTCGTTATTCTACGTGGAACGAGAAATGCGAATTTATTAATAATAAATGTTTATTTTTTCTATTGACAATTAATGTTTTAAATTTCACACTGTATTCGCACTATTTACAAAGGCCAATTTTATACATTTTTATTTACGCTTAATCAGTCTTTTTTAAATGTTGACCACTATTTTTGATTAGTGTTGGTCCGTAGGTCATTTTGGTTTTCTAAATAATTATGGCGGTCAAATCATAGATTTAGGTCCATTACTTAAATTGCCACGATCCTTCAAACTTTAGTAAGCTAATTAATGGTTCCAATTAAAATAATTGGATTAAGTTTACTTATTAGCAGCGTCCAAAATTTTTTTTTACAAAGTCTGAAAATGAAATTAGAAATCCAACGAAGCACATTACTAATCATTCTTTATGTTCTCAAAACGTATAATAAGAGTATAATTTGTAGAGACAAGAAAATATAATATCCAAACGAACGAATTTTTTGGGGCAGTAAAATGGAATAGATTTTTTTTATACTCACTATAAATACCTTTTTAGATACCTAGTTTTAATTCATAGAACAATTGAAGAAGGCGAGTTTAGATTTTATTTCTGACCCATATTTGGTGTAGAGCCAGTCAGTGGTCAAACGATATATTTTATTTACATAAATCTGGTGAGCTCGATGGTTTAAATGTAATTTTTTTGATCCAAGGAATGTTTCATTTTGTGGGTGATGTGTTCTTAATTTTTCTAGCACTGAAACTATATTTTCGAAATAAAACCTTCAATGTAATGGATTTTACAAAATAAATAGTTTCTTGTAATTCAGAAAATAAATCTTATACAATAAATATATTCAGACTATAATATAATACATTTATACTTAATAAGTTAAAGTGCTAAAGACTATGATACCTACTAACTAATTACAGTTAATTCAGGGGTCACCAAAGAGACTAATTGATTTTTAGAGAAATGTTGGTCGATCGTACATATTCAAAATTAGTTATACCAATATCAGTTTATCACGTGATCTTAAACACACCCCTACGCTACCTATATTTTATACAAAGAAAAGTATTTATTAGTGAAGAAAAATATAAAATTTTTCTATGGAGAAAAAATAAAATAAAAATATTATAATACAACAAATGTATAAAAGGTATTACATTATACTGCAAATAATAATATAAATAATATACCTAAAGAAATGGTGGTCAACCACCAGATACTAGAAAAATGTAATGTACCTAGTTGACTTGTTAGAAAAGGTTGGTGACTTAATGGCTGGCTTATATCATAATAATATGTTTTTAAGTCTAATATGTATTTCTTCAGCCAATTTATATTTTGAATTCGGTATTTTGACATCAATATGTACCACTTGAAATTGTATAATATACGTAATTAAAAAACTAGCAATTTACTTATCTAGTTTTTAGAATTTATACTAAAAAAAAAAAATGTTTACCTGAGTAAATAGTTTTAAAATTAGCTTCACAATATTGTAAGTTGAAAAAATATTATTTGCGAAACCTATGCTCCAAGTTCAAGTTTATAACTTCATGTCACTTATCGAAAATACAGCAGTATGATGAAAACAAATTTTTTAATTTAGATATTTTTTTCAAGTCATGAATATGATATCCATGACAATTTATAAAATTATAACACCACTACAAAATCAACGTGATCTTAGAGACGCTACACATTGCTCGAATCATAGAGAGTGAACGCTGAGGGATAAAGTTAATTTATTTTCATTTTGAGAGAAAACTTAACTACTAAATATTTTTATTATAATGGTATATGAGTCTATTCTCATTTACAAAATAATTTTTTAACATTAACTGCTTTTGTAATTTATATATTTTTGAAAAATGGCATCGAAAAAAATATTCAAATTCAATTTGATGAATTATACCACTAGCTCTTTATTATTCTGATAATAATATAAAAAAATGTTATATAAATATTAAATTGTATTTTAATCACATATACGACGTATTATAATAGTAATCACTAGAACATTATAGTATAGATACTCCGACAATAATACTTTTTCGAGTATCGATGCTCGGGGTTTCTTCCATCACAACTACGTCAGGCCTAGTTTGTCAACCATAAATCAGTGGTGCAGGTTGGGGGGAGGACGGTGATTATTATTTTATTGCATATAGTAACAGCCCTTCTATAATTCTTCCTGACCGATTGCCATAGGACACCGGTAATCGGCTGAGACACGATTGAGCATAAAACACCTTTTTTGGGACACGATTGAGCCAAATTGTCGGCGTATCAAAGGAAATCAGAATACAAAAGAAAACCTACACGATTGAGCATAAAAAACTCTGCAACGTTGCCATTTTCCATTTTAAACTATATTATACAAAAAGATTTATTTAAATAACTATTATAATTCAAAATATAATATATCAAAAAAATTACATAATAATAATAATAATGATAATGATGATAATAATAATAATAATAGTTATGAAAATAATAAAATCAAAATATGGTACGAATTAAAAAAAATACTGCATGGTTTATAACTTTATAAATCGAGAATACTATAGAGTATGGGTGATCGAACACTGATATTATTTAAATGATAATTTTGGAATTGTACCTTAATTTATTATCTTATGTTTTCCTCTACTTATAAATTTTTAAAACTTCGGCACTTTATTGCTCCGGAACAAATTTATTAACCTATAACATTGTCGATAAAGCTGGGCTCAGCTCACAACTCGCATCTGGTATCATAACAATTATTTGTGCAATAATATGTGAAAATAATAAATTACAAAATTTCGGCCACGTAAATGTGGCAACATCGCATAAAATATTCTATGCTCAATCGTGTTGCTAAAAAGTAAAAAGGTATATGCTCAATCGTGCTTTACCGCCGGTAATCAACCTATAATATCTATTATTATAGTAAGATTATACAATTATAATTCTCCCCCATATCATAACAACGAAGCAAACACCTAACCCAACTGTCATTTTGTTGCGTGCCCGACAGGTCAGCACTACCAGCAGCAGCCACCGCCGCAGGTCCGACGGCTATCCAAGCAGGGCAGCAGTTCCATGGACGCGGCGGCAATCCACGTGCACACATCCGAGTGCTCGCACTTCATACCACCGCCGCCGTCGCACCACTCAATGGCCAACGGCGGCGTCGGCTCTCCACGGGCAGGCAGTCCGGCCCGCGGACCGTCCCTCGTCGACGGGATGCTTCCGCCGCCGCCACTGCACAGCATGCCGATGCAGCACCAGGCCACGGCCGACCATCACGGGTTCGAGTGCGACTTCCACTGTTGCGCGCTGCATGAAGAGGGCCGCCGGATCGCCGTACACAAGTCGGTGGCCACGTCGCCGATACAGGAGTGCCACCACGCGCCACCGCCGCCGCTGCAGACGCAACAGCAACCGATTCTGCAGCAACAGACGCAGCCGCTGCAACCGCCGCCGTCCACCGGCCAGCCCGTGTCGTCCTCGCTGTCGGACGGAACGCGCCGCGCGTCGCCCAAGGGCCACGTCCGGTTCCTGGACCCGGCCGGATCGCCACCGATGCCGCCTCCGCCGTTGCTGCCGCCGTCGCCTCCCGCGTCACCAGCGCGCCGGCAGCAACCGCCACCGCCACTGCAGTCTCTGCCTCCGCCACTGCAGCTGCAGCACCGGTCCGACAGCTCTGATTCCGAGACGGAGACCACCGTCATCGAAGACGACTCGATGACCAGCGAGAAGTTTCTGTTGCTTATTGACCAGCTGGTCGACAAACAGGACAGGCACCTGACAGTCAAGGACATCGGCATCATACTGGAACGGCTCAATTCGAAAATCGTGGACGTCGAGCGGCTCGACCGTGATTACGAGGCCACTGACTGCTACAACTGGACCATCAAGGCGACCATCAGGGGTGACGTGCTCCAGGAGTACGGCATCATATACAACGGCAACTACTATGGCATATCCGAACACCCGGGATACCGACAGAACGACGAAGAGCTGCCCAACGAGGACGATGAGGAAGTGCTAGACGAAGACGATGAAGGTGACGACGGTGGCGGTGCTGGAGCATCGGCCGCAGCCAGCGGTGGTGGAGCCACTAGAGAGGTTGAGATCCGCTTGCACAGACGTCGTGCCGACGAAGAGGTTAACATTTAAATATATATATTATAATATTTATAATCACACGTTGTTACACGCACATGCGCCCGCACAAACACCATACACACACACACACACCACACACACACACACACACACACACACACACACACACACACACACACACACACACACACAAAGGTTTGACTTGGCGATAACATGCTAGAAGGTGCAGAAATTAAATATTTTGAAAATAGGAATGTGAATCGAAGAAACTGCCATCTATAAGACTACATTGCATTGGAATAAAATTAGTAATACAAATAATATGTACAACCGTGGATTATTCTTTTGCCACTAATTGCTCACACCCTGGCCCTCCGATGTTGCGAGATATCCCCCTCGAATAATTCACCTTCACGCCACTCCTCCCCGAAAGTCAGCAGTGCATGAGCGCGCAGACAGGCACATAAACACACAGAAACACACAAACGCATACACAGACAAACAAACACACACACAGTGTACATATTCACGGTTATTTGTTTGCCCCCCCCCCCCGGAGTTAGAGTTATAAAGAAATTATTATTTTTCTTTTCTTTCAACAGTGCCAATGAACGCGCCTGACTATATTTTTTATTATTATCATTATAATTATAATTATTATTGTTATTATTATTATTATTATTCGAAATCCTCCTAACTCCGAACTAGCCATAACTATACTATACGATAATCGTTATACCACGTGATGATAACGATATTACTATGGCGCCTAAGCAGTGTATTATTATTAATATTATTGTTTTGTTATGCTGTTGTGCGCCTGTTGAGCGCCAAACAATATTTTCAAGTTTTACCTGTCGCAGTCGGTTTACCGCCTTATAGCATAACATACCACCTCAGACACGCGACGGGTTTCGTTTCTTGTGTTTCCAATAATAATAATAATAATATGTTTAGTTTTTTTTCCATTATTACTAACCGCCGTCGTGACTGCCACAATATACATATTATTATTACATGCGTCTACACACACACACACACACACAAACACACACATACATGTGCATTACACACATTTACAGAGTCGTAAAAGTTTTATTTGTAGGAGAAAAAAACAACAAACCGTTTGACTAAACGTCTAACCGGAGGTATTTTTCGATACCGACATACACGCTCTGTCAGTGTCCTTTTTTCAAAAGACAGTTCCAGCTTAGGGGTTTTCGTTTGTTTAGACGAAACATAATATTATAGAGAAGTATATTGCGTACTTCGCATTTAATATAAAAATTATCTTTTTATGACATTTACCTATACGCACGAACTAAACGTCGTCGTTTATGAGTATACCATCATCATTATTATTACTATGATTATCACAAATAATATTATCATTATTGTTTATATTATTATTATGATGATAAGTATTATTATTTTTTTATTATTTTTTTTTTTATGATTATTATTATTATTACTATTAAGGATAATTATTAAATACAATATATTATAATTGTTATTGCTGCGAACTGTACAGAAGCCTTATTTCTGAAAACATATAAATACTATTTGTTATTTTGTATCCTTTCAAAAAAAAGGCTACGCAGTTTTCCAAATGTCACTTAAAAGAAGTGATAAAAATTAGGTCATTGTGTTCAATATACAATCTTAGTACCTATTTGAAAGACAATGTTTAAATGCTAAAAACAACCTAAATCTCAGGTTTGTATTTAATTTGTAAATGGTGATATTTTCTGAGAAGATACAAAATATAATTTTGATTCTTAAGAATATTTGAAATTGGTATACGAAAAATTGGCAAAATTAAAATAGAAATCAGTGGTAAAACAATGAAACCAATGTAGACGAAAAACTATAGGTAATGTCTAAAGCAAATAATCGCGATTTGTATAAATAAATTATTATAATAATTTTCAACGGTCCCACTCATAATGTCACCTAGCTAAAGCTGCATTTTTTTCTTATTATCACAGTGTTTAAAATTTTAATATTTTTTTTTTTAATCATAATGGCAGAATATAATATATGTAGTAGACGAACAAAAAGTGTTTAAAGAATTAATAAAATATAAACAAAAATACCATCCATGGTAATTATTGTGTTTTATATAATTTTAACTGGATCATCTTGTGAACTTACAGTTAACCGTTTGTTCAACTCATTCTTTTGATTCAAATTTTGTTATCTTAGGTACATCGGAATGTTTGTCAGAAGAATCTGTATTTAATTCAGTAGTCGTGTACACTCTTGTATTAATGCTATGTGTTTGCAATTGTTCGGCAGCATATTTGCTTACAATCTTTATATTATTTTCTAATAAATCCACCATGCTTAAAATTCTCCATTTAAAAATAACATATTTTATTTCGTTTCTCGAAGATATTTGAATAAGAAAATACTTATAAAATCCATTTATAACAATATAATGGTTATTAATAGAAATAAGGTAGGTAAATAAACTATTTTCGAATAAAAATCGCTATTGTTTGGATATAACTACCTACCTACCTATAGCTTATTTCGCTATTTTGGGTTTCATTATCTCTTTTAAATTCTCATTCATTTGTTTATGATAAAAATAAAATTAATCCCAAACGCACAATAGGTCTTTTAAGACTTTGAGTAAAACGTAATTTTATTACAATAATATGTTATACGCTAAGTATCAGTGTTTCTTATGTCCAAAAAACTATTTTTTCTTTAGTCTGTAGTCATACAAAAATTAAAAAGTAAATAGAAAATATTAGGTAATTTATTATTTATTATTATATTTATATTATATTACAATATTGCAGGGACACAATTTTGACATTTAAACAAATCCCGCTCAATTCACAATTTCAATTTAAATATTATCGAATGTAATTGAACAGTTTTGTTCCCCATAGTTTTTTAATGATGGAATTTTAAATTAAAAAACAGATTGAGGTCTATGCTCAATATCGCAAACATGTTATTTCATTGAAAAATAATATGTATTTTTTACAATGATACCGACGTCTCCCTGAACAATAAAATAATTAGGTAATTTGACATTCATGGGCAGTTATCTGTATACGGTTTGGTGAACTGTATAAAATGAATGTAGGTAGGTACTTTGCGAGAAAAAAAAACCCTCCGTTGGCGTACATTTATGGCTTTGAAAAACGTTCATTATAAATTATATATAATGATACTCCGTTATAGTTTATGCATTATTCCATGCATAATAATAAAGAACACCTAAATAATATGCCATGGCTCAAACAAAACTATTTTTCATTCCAACAGTGATATTATACCATAATCATGAATCAAGGTGGTTCTCATTCGCCATGTATAATATATTATATTATTATCATTACTTCTATCGAACTAGTAACTAAATTAGTAAAATAATATTATTTATGCCTACTAATGACCTATTATAGCTGAGGCCTGAGACACAAATCGGGAAATATCGTTATACTATCAAACAGTTTAATATCTTTTTTTGAAGTACCTACCAACTAAGTGGGTACCATTCACACTCTACAGTTATACTACAATATTCATTCTGTTAAGTCAAAATGGATCTTAACAATTATTAATGGACATGCGTCAGATATATTATCGTTAACCCATAGATATTTTATACACAAATCTAGTAGTTACTGCAGCTTTTTTTTTTTTTTAATGTAAGTACTTGTGGACTACTAACTCATATCATATTATTACAAAAATATTATAGGTTCGAATTGATTTTGATATTTTTTTTAAACATGCCATGAACGTTGATTTTAAAACTAAAGTATGGAGTAACATTTTGCCAGTTAAAATCTTTGTACCTATCTAAGTAAATAGTTACTAATAGTTAATACACTCAATAATACTATGTGTTAACAAATTTCTATCCATTCGTGCTATTCAATATTGATCAATGTAGAACATAAAACAACATACAAACGATAATTCAACTAAATCTTGACGAATTCGTAAACATTACACCTCCTTTATATTAATTACACTGCATTAACTTCATACAGCCATGTATGTTTCACTAATCATTTTTGACAACAATGTTTATTCATATTTTTTAATCGATTGTGTTTGATTACAACACATAGCTTTGTTTTATAATTATTATTATGTGGATTCCTTATATTATATGATTATGAATTAATAGTAATTTTAATTACTGCATCTCTTTACGCATCCCTTCATCCATGTACAAAAAATGTCATTACCACCTCAACAGTTTTAAAAATTAATTAATTGTAAATGTCTTCCCTTAATCTTATAAAATCCAGTGATTTTCTTTCCATTTAATTTTAGACTTTTAATCTTATTTTTTATTTCAGTCATTAAATTTTATCTTGAAGATTTTAATATTTATTTTCTTATCCTTTAGTAACATAATTTGTCACGAACATATTCTACAACTTGTCCTTAAACACATTTTATCGAAAGCCTGTCATGATGTTAAATTTAATTAGTAGGTATATAGGTAGATCCTTATAATAACGCGACTTTTTTTTTTGAAAAATTTGAGTCATTAACTCGAAGCTTAAGTCAGCTTCAGAAATATTATATATACATTAAAACATGCTACGTTTAGCGTGACGGTCAAAAAAACTCATTATATGCCAAATACTAACTCATAAAAACAGGAAATGGATTTTTATAGATATACCTACAAAGAATTGCGTTAAAAGACTTCAACAGTAATCTAGTATAATATAAATATAAAGATGGTAAACGAATAAACACGAAGTACAGTTGCATCAAAACATGTGTCGATACGCCTATCGACGAATATCTACATTATTCAAAGTTTATCGGTATTAAAAAGAGTATTAAAAATCTATAGAATATAATATTTTTGATTTTTGAGCAAAAATGTCCAAATTTATATGGCATTTAAGACACTTAGCTCAAGAAACGGAATTTGCAACCAAGATGTTTGAAATTATTTATGCTTGACCTAAATTTGAACAATGTCTGGTTGAGCTGATGTAACTACTAATGAAAAAGGTCTAAATTTACTTTAAACTTGTTATCATCGCAGTTACCAATAA